TAAAACCAAAGAGTCCCAGCAGACGCTGCTGTGCTACAGGGTTGGTAATAAATCAAAACACTGGGAAATTCAGAAAGGTTAATATCTGATAATTTCATACTGGCCTGTCTGCCTTCCCAATGTGTGCAAATCTCATAGTGATTTCCAGCCCCCGTTCATATGTAAGGTGGTTATTATCGCCTAAAAACAACATGCAGCACATTGTTTCACAGCAGCTGAACATATGGGTTCAAATTACCTGCACAAATATGCAGAATTAGTAATGCTATAATTGTATCCTACTGTACAAATTGTTCGTCAGATTGGCCCGTAAGTGCTCGGAGAGTGCAGGCAGCATGTGAGAGTTCATCAGGTCATTTAAGAAGACTTTCCCCTGAATACTTCCAGACTATTAGATTCAGTGGTGAGAGTCCTGTGAAGACCCTCCAAACTCTGCACCTGGTTCAGATTCCACCCTCAAAATCTGCTTTCTTTGGACGTTGCACCTTCCCCCTTATTTGATTTCAGCTCTTTGTGATATAAAATACACACTGATGGTTGAGAACTGTCTTTAGGGATGGCGGGGTGAGTCGAAGACAGAGGGGGGAGGAGAAACAGAGGCTACCGAGCCGTTTGGAAAATAGTTTTATTGAGAACTGGCAGCAGGTCGTGAGCCGTCAGAGGAGTTCTGAATGAGACTAAAAGCCATGCAGTCTATTAAAGCTACAATTATGGGCTCTATTAATGCTCTTTTGTACCCGCTGCTTGAACAAGTCAATCTTGGATTGCGTTCAGGTATTTTTATGGGATGGATCAAAGGACTCATGGCACCACATTTCCTCACACAGTTCCTGTCTCTGCTGAGCGGTGTCAGCGAACACACTATTTGATGGATTTGATGGACGCCTTTAATGCAAACATCCACGCAGGCCTAAACCTCCATCTGTCCCACAGTCAGGATGGTCTACATTTAGGTTTTTACGATTTAGCGAGCGGAGGTGGCTCTGGGGTTATAAGATAGCAGTAAATTCCTGCGCTTCATGCCATTATCTTGAGTGAGGGCATGTGTAATAGATCGTGATAGGTTTACTGGTCCTCCAAACTCTCCTCTGGCTAAAGGTATGGAAAGCTACTTTTGCTGGCAAAAACAAGATAACTCATCAGAGACGTGGGGATATTCAAGCAATCAAACTTGGGAGACGGCGGATGCTCCAGTCAGCACGACTGCTTCAAGCTTCGCAGAACAAGGACCTGAAGGTTTTTTTTAACCACAATCTGCAGAGATCCAAAAAGGATTTATCTTAGCATGCATGACCTTTATTCACAGAGAAATCATCCAGTACCCAACCTGGACTCTGTTTTAAAATGTTCCATTAAACCAGTGTTAGTAAACTAGACCATCTATAAAAGACGGGAACAGCTAAGACACCCTGAAATAGACTTTATCTCATGAAAGTCAAAAGTAATGAAATATTGACTGCATATATGAAATATAAATGTTCTTCCTTTATTTATACAGCCCTTTACAACGACCCTTTCAGTGAACCAAAGTGCTTTACAATAGAAAATAAAACTGAATAAATAAAAACAGTAAAAAGCAATAAAAACAGTAAAAAAGAATAAAATACAATGCAATAAAATAAAGTGTCACCACACTACTGGGTATGAAAAGCCAGCATAAATGATTATGTTTTCAATCGGGATTAAAAAAGGCCCAGGTCGGAAATAAGTCTCATTTCGGTGGAGAGCTTACTCCAGAGCCTGGGACCAGCAACTGAAAAGGCATGACGGACAGTGCTACCTGCAACATAAATCAAACGCACCTCTTCAGGAAGGCAGTGCCCCGCCCGCTCTCACCTCCAGCCATGTTGACCTGCCTGTTTGCTGCTTGTATCATGTGCAACTCACTAATTCAGCCAACAGGCCAACACTCTCATTATGTAATGAAGCATTTTAGATGAGATACAACTTTATTTATCCTTTTGGGAAGGTTCTGTAAAGGAAATAAAAAAATTTCAGGGGCCATGTTGGAGCTTGGACCTTGGCACCAGAGGAACATGCTACTGCTTCACCTCCTCAAGGTAAGCTAGCAGGTTTATGCTAACTTGCATGCTGTGTGCTGCTCTGTTGGAAGTTTAGTGCTAGAGGAACTGCTTCAGGGCTGACATGTTGCTACTTCACTTCCTCAAGGTAAGCTAGCTGGCTGATGCTAACTGTTGGAAGCTTGGTGCCAAAGGATCTGCTTCAGGGCTGACAATGCTGCTGCTTCACTTCCTCAAGGTAAGCTAGCTGGTTTATGCTAACTTGCTGTGTGCTGCTTGTTGGTGCTTGGCTTTACTAATGAGGCTGCTGGGAGCTTAATTAGCCTCCATAATATGTTGCTTATGGGTTTTGCTGGCTGTATGGTTTTGCTTTCATGCTACTCGCTTCTTCATATGTTCATCATGCTCATTAGCATATTAGCAGGGTCTCTTGTCTCAATGTGGTTGAGCTCTTTCTTGCTGTGTTGCAAAGTTTACATGTTTTGGAGCTGCTAAGGTTGATTTTTAACGATGTTAGAATTAAGTTTGCTGTCATTTTAAAGCATGTGGTAGATGTTGCAAAGTAACTGGATTTGGAGGTGTTGGTTTGCATACTTTTCTGCACATATACCATTTATATAACTGGTGAAAGCTGAGTCTCCACAACTCACAGTCAGCCTATTAGCATCTGAGGAATATTCTTCGCTGTGGCCCTCTTCGCTTTGTTGTAAAACTGCTGTTCTTCGTTTTGAGCCGCTACTACACTGCCTTGCATTTACAGCCAAGCCTGTATTTTCTGAACAAGCTCTTATGACTCTCTGTCACTTATCATTGCTGCACGCCAAAGGCAGAATCACCTGAAACCCTGACTTTTCGCATGCTCCGTATACTTAAGATCTTTCTGACAAAGACGGGACGGCACACAATATTTCTTGCACTTGAGTTTTAGGAGCGGCCACATCGCAGCTTGAATCTCACATTGGACAGTCTTACATTATACTGCTGGATGTATACAGTTTCTGGTCTGGGATGCTTACCAAGTGAATGGTCATGTTGTGGCTGTTGCTGCATAAAGAGGAGCTCTGGTTAGCAGTCTAATGGGGTTTCTGAAACAGAAGCTTATTCCAATGTTTTAGTATCTCTGCTGTGCTGGGCTGGACGGACTTCAGATGTATTAAATCAACTTGGTGTCTTTCTATCCACATGAGCTGTCTGATTGGAAGAACTGAAGTCAAGCTATATTTTCCTGTATGATATTACATTTGCAAAACATCTCCAGCTCTGTAAATTTCAGCTGATTCCCTCTACTTTCAGTCTACCACAGGGACTCTTTATGCAGATCTTGAGGTGGATTTTGATGGATTTGAATTGTGCACATGCTTTGCAATCCTGAGGCTTTGTGATGCCATAGTAACGATGTTTTGGCATCTCTCATTGGTGGAATAAAACAATCATGGTCACATATCTCGCAGTAAAATGCATGAACATTATTAAACCCGCAGTCAGTGCTGTTATTGCAGACTGTAGAGTCACTTCATCTGGTTCTCTGCTGGTGCTGGGCTGTGCAGGACCACATCAGGGTTTATGTCTCCATTTGCAAGCTGCAGATAAACCATACTTTAGAGTACTTTGGGAGAGTTGATCCAGGGAGTTGGTGTTTTTGAAAGTGATGCCTCTTGTTGGAGATGAAGCATACCGGTCTTGTATTTAGAGTTCGATGTAAAACAAGTAAATACTTTGAATTAGTTATCTATGGCAGTTTTAATAAGACACCTTCTCATTCTGGTACAGGCTGCTCTTTGTAAAGTCAGGACTTATTCTCATAATATAATTCCTTTATTCAGGCAATAATCATTTTCCTATTGCAATAACTAAAATATGACTTTATACCAATAAAAAAACACCTTTACTCTGCTCTAATGCTCTAAAATAAGTAAATAAATAAAAAGATTTATGCATTTGCCTAAAACTGCTTATCTAACTCATAAACTTTCAAATCTCTTGCTGCTTTCTGCTTGCTAACCTGATTATTTGCTCTTTTTTCCTCTTATGTGAATTAAAATGTGAGTGTCCCACAGTTCTTGTGCTGACTTTTAGGAAAAATAAGCAATACTGTTTTGGCTCTAAAGAGTTTATTATTGCCATTTGTCAACTTTCCGTTTTCTGTCCTGCAGATAATAAAAAAGGAGACATACTCAAATACTCTGTTTAGTTAACCAAAAAGCCAAACCCTGAGGTTTTTACGAAATATTTATGAAAACAACAAGACGCCAATCCTAACAAAAAATTAAGCTTGAATGCAAAATGGTTTACCCTTCCTATAAAAGTGATTTAGACTTTTAATTCTTTATCAAAATAGTCGCTGAATATCTTTCCTCCAAACAACCAACGAGTAAATTGACAATTAGTTTCAGCTGAACTTTCCACAGTGTTCAAATTGGAAGTTTATTGTCCAGCAACACCAACAAACTTTCCCCACACTCCTCTCAGTCTCTGCGTCTCGTCACTCGGCAGTCAGTATCGACTGTCTGAGAAAACAGAGTAATTAGATCATCTCCACAAACACGTATCCAAGCTGAGGGGCCCCACCTTCCACTCGGAGATGAGAGAGACGTTAAAGGACATGCAGGGCTAGAGGTCGACCACAACTGTGCTTCACCGAGCTGTGGTCCAGTAATTGAGGACTCTCTGGCTGACACTCAGCCCCAGCAGAGATGATTTACTCTGTCCTGATGGTTTTCCTGACTCCAGGACTTTGGCGTCAGAGACAAAAGGCGTCTGTGCTGACGCTCGCTCAGAGGGGTGAGACGAAGCTGAAAAGGAGCGAAGCCTTCAGTCTTTAGTCGGTAATCCGCCGCTCTGTGCAGCTCATTGATGAGGTGCAGCCATGAAATACTTCCCCTAAAGTGTGTCGGACAGTGCAGCCTGTTTGTGAAACCCGCAGCCAGGAGTTTTCACCGATGAAGAGCTTTCCAATTCCACTTAGAGTCTCAAGTGACTTCAGGGATCCAGAACCTGTCCCGGTCGAGGACCTCTGGCTGCTGGTTTGACTCTCAGCAGTTCCACGTCAGTTTTCATCGACTTGAGAAGCACTTTGTTCACTGTGTCCAAGCAAGAGCCCTCTTCAGTAATCTGGTTTGGTGGTAAGAGGCACTTCACCAAAAGAGCCCAGTGTGTATATTCAAATGTGTTGGTGTGTGGTTTTCCTATGTCTCTGTGGAGCTTTCGGCTGCATAAGAGAGGCCGGGCATTAGAGAGCAGCCAGGAGGCCTGAGTTTTCCTGGCACACAATAGCAGGAAGTGCTGCCACACTATAAATGGGAGCTGAAATAGTGGCAAAACTCAGTCAGCAAGGCCTTTCTGCCACCGGCCAACAGGATTTACGGGCTCCTGCTGCTCTTTTCCAACATCCAAACAGTGATAGTGGAGCTGAACAGACAGACAGCACCAGGAAAGTTTCACATTCGAGCCAGTAATTATTCAACCTTCAGCCCTTAACTGCTGATACTGACACATAGTTTAACATTAAAGCTGCCAAAGCGTGTGATCTGTGCCCAAATTCTGCATCAGTTTGGCCACTTCGCACCGTAAACTTTCTGGGGATCCATTGTTTCCGCCACAGTTTTATTCTTGTGCAAATGGAAAAGTTATTTCAAGTCTGAAAACCGAACTAATGAATTTTTCGGCGGGACTTCTCAAACTGGCAACAACATCTAATGAAACCTCGTCAAGTTAAATCTCATCTGTACCGACGCTGTGATGGTGGTTTTGCTGCATTTGCTGCATTTGCTGATATCTGCTCTTGCCAACGCTGGCTCGACTTTTTTCAGTCCTATCCAGAGTCGTTTGTTTGAAACCATTTAAAGAAAGTGTTAATATCCCATTTTCTGCTCTCTTCTTGTTACATTTATGACCAGTTCACTCCAGAGCTGAGACAAACGTAGAGAGTTCCAGTTCATTTCCTATATAGAAGAAATTAGTAGCTCTGTACTTCACTTTTGGCTGTGATAACTATCCATAATGTTGGAAGCCTACATTTTAAAGTCAATTGGTTACATTGTGATGCAGCCAGCAGTAATAAAAATCTTATGAACTCTCAATCTTTCCTTAAATATTAAGAATCAAAGGCGGCAGTGCACTAAAATAAGAGTTTGAACTTTGAAATGAGTATCACAATAAACAAAAACTTCCCAAAAATTTACTGATACGAAAATTTATGATAATAACCAACGTCATTTTGTCCATATCAATGTATTCCGAGTCAAAAAAATAAATAAATAAAAATTGGTTTTGGATGTGTGTATGTAGGCTATGGTCTCATGTCCATTTAGTATGCTATCCAGTCCGTAACAAAGAGGGAAAGACAGGTGAGGAGATGGTTCCAAGTTGTAGCAGCAGCTAAAGTAGACAAAGTTAATGTGGGAGGGGGTGAGCAGGTTGTGGAGTAGTTATCGTCCATTTATCGTATTGAGGTGAACTGATCAATATATCGTGATATTGATTTGAGGCCGTATCGCCCAGCCCTAGTTCAGACCTTAAATAAAGAGTTTTGATGCAGTACAATCAGGATATCTCGAGCCACCACTGACGGCGTATCAGTGGCTGCAAGTCGAGCAGCCACAAACTTGACCTTTGCCCTGGAGGTCAAACAGACCCAGTTCTACCCACCTAGTTTGGACCACATGTACTCCAAGGATTGATGGGCTGTTTCTGATCACATCAAAGTAAAAGCAGTGGTGGACTCACATTTTCATTCCTTTCACTCAGATACTTTTTCAACATCAGTGAAAGTCAAACTGAAGTACAGGTGTGGAGTAAAAGTAAAAAAAATAACACTCAACAAAAGTACAGAAACTCAAAAATAGACTTCAGCACAGTCTCAAGTAAATGTCCTTTATTTCTGTCCAGGTCGTGCAAAACCATGCACATGGATTTTAGTGTTTCCTGAAGCACTAATTCAATATAAATAGAAAGATGGCTGACAGTCTCTGTTAAGGGAAGCTGGGTGCAGACAAAACGATTATTACAAAAAGAAATCTAGAAGAATGATTGCATTTTATTGCACTGGCAAGGGTTAACGTAGGTCGACCATACTTCTTTTTTACCTGGACATGTCCTCTTTTTTGGGGGGCTGTCCGGTCTGTCCTGCCTTATCTGGGGGAGTTTATAAAATCCTTCAAATGTCTGTGGTTTTGTATGGAAGTTTTGAGCTTGTGTCATGTGGACTTACTGAGTTAGAAGCATGTAAAAAACACTCGATCCAACCCCCAAAACTCTCATGACTTGCCCCCCCTTGTTATTTGCAAACTGCTGCACCTCTGGGAGACCTGGGTCGCACAAGTTAAACAAGACCCGAGTTTAAAAGAGAAGAGCAAATATTCAAAGTTTTGTCTTGAGCATTCAAATCTAATTAGGCTGAAAATCCAGAGTCCGGTTCAGCCAAATAAAAGTCCAGCAATGAAATCAGCAGGCCTGGAAAAGTAGATAGCAAAATACTTGTGAATATATGCAGCATTATTTCATCCAGCTCTGCAGATGTGTTCAGTCTCAACAAAACTTAAATAATCTCTGAGGGAAAACTGGGTCACTGCAGCAGCGGAGATTATTCCTGAAGAGGAACCAAAAATACAACACAGTACAGATAAAATACAGCACACACACACACACACTGTGTCAGTGTAATGCTGCTGACAACACAAGAAACTACAAAGTTAGTTTACAGTATCTTTATTTACTTTGCAGTGGCCCTGTCTTAAGGCATGTCAGCGTCTCTGTTTAACAGTTTAAGGTTCATCACTTCTGGAAAACACATCACATCCCTCACCTTGGAGAAGTCCTCCCTGCTTTGGGCTGTGTGGCTCTTCCCCAGGAGTCCATGAAAAACTTCACTACCTCCCCCCAAAGTCAAGGTTAGACTTAGTGAGAAGAGCAGGCTGCAGGCACGAAGAGGAAACCTACAAACGTTTCTCACCATCTACCAGAACGTTCTGTTTATATGTCTGTAAAAATTCAGGTACAATAGTCACGAGACGATCGTGAGGAAGTTTGTCACACCGATTTACATGTTATATTTTTCATGTACAGATTTAACTCCATGTATGCAGAGACTTTTAGTTATATTAAAGAGAGAGCGGGTCATGACCATTGTCTTAGCCATATTAAGACAATGGACGGTTTTGCAGGAGGCAAAACAATCATGGCCAAACTCCCTTTAAGAGCTAAATGTGTTCGCAATTGGCACGAATTAACTTGCAGGTTTACACCTATTTAAACGTCTGAATATTTTGTGTTTACTCGCTTGATTACCACGAATGCTCGTTGCTTTGCTCAATTTGCGCATCAAATTACGTTTATGTGAGTGCCCAGGGATGAGAGGGGTTTCCATGGTTGACTACAATGCAAGGACTGACACTGTCCATTTGCAACTTGACATTACCCTCCAAGAACTTGTAACTGATCTCATCTTATCGTTGACTTTGCACTCAGTTCACTTGAACAGAAACCTTGAGCACGACCAGAGTCATTAGTGGAAATCCATCTGCCACAAAGTGAGCCAAGTGGACGCAGAGAAGGGAGAGTAATCAGGGGACATCTATCTACCAGGAAAAAATGACTAAAGTGATGAGAGGAGGTAAAACAAAAAAGATGAATAGAGAGGAAACGATCATACAAAGAGGCATGTCCACTGATAACTACTACAACAACCTCATAATAGTGTTAATATGACTTATTTCTTCTCTAATGTAACTGTGATTTTCAATAAAAAGTGTGACTTTTGAAGTTAATGGTACCACTTTAGAGTCCTGGACGTCAATGAAAGAATATTTAGTGGCTGCAACACAAAAGTCATACAACTGGATTATGTGTTAGTGGCACCGACTGAATGACTGGGAGCCTGCCCTGAAGTCAAAACCATGACCAAAACTCCACTAGAGGGAACTTTTTATGTTCACAAAGGAGACTCTGGTTTTAGTTATGATGCCAAACTTATAGAAACGTAGCAGAAAGATGTCATGACTACCAGAACCCCAGCCCTGTGAGCACAGGTGTCGTGTTTATTTAATCCCCCAAATCAAACCTCATTCTCACTGCAGCACCTACTGCGAATCAGGTTTACCAACGAAACAAGAGTTGAATTCATCATGTACTCAACGCTGTCTTATATGACTGCTTCAAAAACTACTATTGGACTGGAGTTGTTGGTTTAGGGAACAGCGAGATGTAAAGGGATGCTGGAGTTCGAGCTAATCTTTAGAAGAGATCGGCAATTTTCAGTTCATTGTCTCCCCCCACAACCTTCAACAAAATGCAAAGTCAGTTTTGCCGAACTGTATAAACTTAATAAAAAGCAATAAACAGGATATTAAGGTGCGAAATTGTTGCACTAACACACATGCAAATCCATCCAGATCAAAACATGCCAGTTTTGTTAGCCTCATATAGACGAACACATGAATAAGATCATACACGTTTGACAACAACATTTCTGACAAGGTTAAAATAAATCAGCTAAAATGTTTTTTTTTGTTTTTGTTTTTGTTTTGTTTTAAGTAGAAATTAAAAAAAATAAATTAAACCTATTAGATCAGGACTCAAGTGGAAAACACTGTATTAGGATTTCCGGCTCCAAAACTGTTCAGGTCATCCCTACAGATGTTCACTGATCATGTAAAATATGTAAAATAAGAGGAATTTATTAATCCCTAAAGGGAAATTAAAAAGAAAATTGATTAATATTATAATTAGAATAAATATAATAATTTATATGAATATTTTACTCTGATTGTTCTTCGATTGAATTCAATATTTCCTAAAATTAATTAAAAAAAAATAAAAATCAGCGCATGCCTTGAGTTGTGCATTTAATTGATATTAAGTATTGCGTCTATGGTGCTTCAGTTTCCAGGAGGCTGTAAAATATGTGATCAGAGCTACATGGAGATAAAGAGAGACAGAAATCTTCCTAACTCCATTGTCAGGATTAACCTCCCGCCCTCATGAGCCTCACAGCAGAGATAACTGATCATCCACAGCGTCTTCTCAGACTCCAAACTTGGATGTGTTTCCGCGGCGAACTCGGTTCTACTTTCGCATTCCTCAATTATAGTCCTGCCTCGGTCTCTGTCATAATAAATCATCATTATTTCCTCAATTTCACAGATTTTATAATTCACTTTTCTCCTCCCGTGGAGTTAAATATCACATTTGTGATACCAAATTATCAAAGCTTGCCAGCAGCTCTTTCACGAAGGAGTTGTGAAAGTTTCTAGCATTCCTCTGGAGCGGAGGCATACTTTGTCAAATTGCTGTAGGACAAGCGAGTAATTGTGCATTAAAAGTAAATCCTTTGGTCATTTTTTCTCACTTCAAATGAAAAAGTGATACTCGAGAACATCTCCAGGGAAACGGTGAAGTATCATGAAGTTAAAACAGCCTGACCAGCTGTGCAGAGGTGGATTGAGATGTTGGCGTGACAGATAACGTCTAAGGTAAATAGAAAGACACATGGCGGGATTATTCTGCTCCTGTTTTCTTTTACACTCGGATAAATGTTTAAGCATCCATATATTAGCCTAAAGACAGCTCTTTGAATACATAATGACCTTGGAGATTCAAACACTTCTGAATTTCAATGTTCAAATATCAGTTTGAAGAATCTTTTTCAGATATGAATCGTCCTGGCTGTAACTCTGAGGTGTGTATCTACTGAACAGGGAGTTGTGGTTTCTTCTGGCCAGTTTTTTTGGCTGAAGTAAATCTCTCTAGTAGCTTAATGTTGAGCCAAGGGCGGGTCTGGGTTAGTGGGTCAGCCTGCCAGGCGGGGAGCCCAGCTGGCATGTCAGCCTGCTTTCAGATAATGTCAGCGCAGGAGAATGCTAATAGTAACCAAGGACCAAAACGGGGAGCTGCAGTCTGTGGCACCAGCTGTGAGGAAGTCAAACTTAGCCAAGCTATTATGGGATGTATTACTTAAAGTGCATGTGTTTTTTGACTTACTGAAACAATGCGAATCAGCACGCCAGGCCCGGCACCGTAACTGCTGCCCTGCTCTCTTGGCACCTGACCCACGTGTCTATCCCTGCAGGTGGTGAGCCCACAGGATGGCAGCTCTGTGTTGTTTTTAGCAGTCATGCTCCATTAAGAGAAACCTGGCCGCCAGACGCTCACCATCCTCCCAGGGTCTGGCTTTAAGGGGGGGGCCCAGACTCTTGCACCTTTTGGGGCGAACGCCATCACAAAATGATTTCCATTCTCCTTTCACCGCTGAAATGAACAATCTCTTACAGCTCATAAACAGAAATGTGAAATATGATCCTGTCACTGTATCAGATCTATTGTGTCTGGACTGCGTTCCAGTTAGCTCGGAAGTCGGAGCTGGGAATGACGAAAAACCAAGATGGACACCTACTGTTAGCCATTGTTAGCTGTTAGTGGTTGTAAGCCGTTGTTAGGCGTTGTTAGTTGTTGTTAGCTGTTGTCAGTTGTTGTTAGCAGTTGTCAGTTGCTATTAGCTGTTGTTAGCTCTTGTCAGTTGTTGTTAGCTGTCGTCAGTTGTTGTTAGCTGTCGTCAGCTGTTCTTAGCTGTTGCTAGCAGTTGTCAGTTGCTATTAGCTGTTGTTAGCTCTTGTCAGTTGTTGTTAGCTGTCGTCAGTTGTTGTTAGCTGTCGTCAGCCATTGTTAGCTGTTGTTAGCAGTTGTCAGTTGATATTAGCTGTTGTTAGCTGTTGTCAGTTGTTGTTAGCAGTTGTCAGTTGCTATTAGCTGTTGTTAGCTGTTGTCAGCCTCTGTTAGCTGTTTTCAGTTGTTGTTAGCTGTTGTCAGCCATTGTCAGTTGTTTTTAGCTGTTGTCAGTTGTTGTTAGCAGTTGTCAGCTATTGTTAGCTGTTGTTAGCAGTTGTCAGTTGCTATTAGCTGTTGTTAGCTCTTGTCAGTTGTTGTTAGCTGTTATTGTCAGTTGTTGTTAGCCGCTGTCAGCCGTTGTTAGTTGTTGTTCGCTATACCAGTCCTAAACACTGCACAACACAGTATTTTACTCTTACAAACACCATAGCACCGTGTTCACAGTTAGACCTTGGACAGTACAACATATACCACTTATTGAATTTCACAAAAACAAAACAGAAGTTCTGATAATTAACACATTATGAGAGATTTCACTGTTACGCTTTACTGTCAATGTACTGTGCTGCCACCTTGGATTATGATGTTGTCGTTAAGTCGGGGTTAGTGAGGACCATCCGACTTTTTGAGTTGGAAATCCGACCTAAGGGCGTTCCAGATGAATTTCCGACTCAGCTTGGAAATCCCAACTGTAAAGCAGCATTAGCCTCCATGTTTTCAACCAACAATCAACATTGAAATTCCAGTTAGCATTCACCAGGATGAGTGAAAAAACAACAACAACAACCCTGAATCTTTGACAAAATGTCCAGATTTTGGTCCCCCTCTCGACCCCGGCCCCTCCACCTTCTTTCCGACTCTTCCTGTGAGATCAACACATCTTGATGCAGTCCATCAACCTGATTGTATATCAACACTGAAGGCATGAGACTGTGATTGGTAATGCTGCTAACATTGTTTGAGGAATCTTGGACAGGGTGTGGAATGATAATCATTACGCCTGCTGTGACTCACCCCGGGTAAACATTAGCTTTAGCCGCTGTGTATTTCTGGACGTTTGCACCTGTTTGCATGTCACAGACTAATTCATAACTCCTCCAGCGCTGCGCTTTGTGAGGAACACATTTCAGCCTTAAACAGCTCCATATGGACAAATACACTTGTCCAGAAGATTTCTGACTCGCCATGAAGAATTAGCTCCATACCACTGAAGCTGTAATAAGCTGTGGATCTAATTTGAGCCATAAATTCTGCCTCGCAACAGCTTGCACCGAGGATGGACATTCAACTACAGAGCTAATAACTTAATTACTGTGACACCACATGCTGCTCGCTTTGAGGAAAGACATCTTCAGTATTTCACAGGCCTTTTACACCCTGTGTTTTGTCAGCTTGTAAGGAACCCAGGACATCAAACGCTACCACAGTTACTCCAGCATCTGAAAGCAGTCCATTTTGACATGACATGTTCCTTAACCTGAGCTGGTGCTTATATAAACTTGATTGGGCCCTTTGCGGCTCATTATACCCAAGTTTGTTTCATTTTGTGCCAAACCATATAAAACTAAATGAAAAGAAAAAGTTACACTCGACTGGATTTTCCTCCCAAATCTGGTCTGAATTCTCACTATTTCAACAGACTGGAATTAGATGATTGGTTAGAGTGTGACACAGCTACAGACAAGGCGTTAATCTGAATATCCTGCCATGTTAGATCCAATATGATGGCACATTAACAACTGCAGTCACTCACTGTGAGTTACGCCCACTTTTCTGCTGCTGTGCAAAGATTAGAGTTGGAGAAATTGTTGATTCTTTGAATTTGATTGAGAGGAAATGAATGGCTGCTCTTATAATTACCACTTTTTCTTTCTTGGGTTGCAGTTATGGGTGCATTTGGTGCTTTTGAATCATCGAAAACTTTGAGTTTTAGGACTTTCTGCTACATGAAACAGGCTGTAAACAATGGGTCCATTGCTGGGCCTTTCAAGGCCTAATTTCGTGGTTGCAACACTGTCTAAAAGCACCAGGATTGACCCCATTATAGTTGGGCAAATTCAGAGTGCAAGCTTAAACTGAGATGAGTGAAAGTGCTGGATAGACTCAGCTCTGTCTACAGAAAACTGTAGCCTAACCTCTGTACAAGTCCTCTCCTGGCACCAGCATCTATTATAACCACTTAAGGACATGCAACTCATGTGAACCCTCTTCAAAACTACTTTAATATCCCTTTAATTCATGAGTTTGGAAAAATAATAAACATTCAGTGACAAAAGTTCCCGGATGTTGCAGAAACTACTGGAGTTACCGGTCTCACAGAGCGAGTGGATTTTACAGGTAGCCACTGTGTCCTACCTTTCTATCTTTGGAGCTGATATCAACAGTATTATGTCATGTATAAAAGTCAATCCTATCTATCATTTTGACCTTAAATATGAGACGTTCACACTTTTATATAAAGTAAGTCTTGAGTTTATATGTGATAAACTCTATCAGCAGTTGAGCATCTTTAGCTCTTGAGGTAACCCAGTACAGACAACATTCTGGGGTATAAAACATCTTTATCCTATTCAAATCCACATTAGCAATAACACGTGTTTTGAATGTATCCTACTTGCACTACATCCGGCGGTTATCCTATCGCCTGAACTGAACTTCCTTTTGCAGAAGAATGTAATCAGCGGCCTGATAATCAGAGCGGAATGAAATCACCGTTTGTTTCTTGTTCATACAGCCTGACATCATGGTTCATGTTAACACTTTTTCCATCTGGTAGACGGAGATTTTGCTCCGTTCCACTGTGAACCCTCAGAAGCTAGGTAAAGCAGCTGTTGTTTTTCTTAACGTTGATCAGAAGACGTCCTTGTCTACATCGTGCACCTGCAGTGATATCATTCGTGTTGGTGCAGTTGTTTGTAACCGTTTTTTGATGTAGCCAGCTTGGTGTAAGGACATGACCCTATCTACAGGCGATACTAACAGACGAGACAACGTTTCGTATCGTACGGATACGCCTCAGAGTAACAGTTGAATAAGAGAGCCTGTATGGTGGAGGTGCCATCCTGTTACTGGATGCTTCTTCTCCGAAGCTGCTCTCTGCCTCTGTCATTGTGTAGCTGAGTGTGAGGGCGCTTATACTGGCTAAGGATTAAAATAAAGAGAAATACAAACTGCAGTCTTTTCGTGTGACGGCAGCAGCATCCACTCTGCTTTATTTCTCACACTCTTTCACTTATCAACTCAGACCCCGTCACAACAACAACTTCCGGTATTCCTTCAAAATAAACCTCGGCACACCTTGCGTACTGAAGCACGTAGCAAGATCTGAGCATGAATCTGATCGCTTTACTACATTTTATTAGCCTATCAGAGGCAGACGGGTATGATGATTTTATTCGCCACGCCATGATTCGCCAGAAATGATTGAAAAACTACAGAATGTTACAAAATGATGTATCTGCACTCCCGGCTCAAGGGGTTGAAATGCGTACATGCTGTCCCGGTTTAAATGGGTCACATAAGAACAAGATTCAGAAAAAAACTGTATTTTAATAAAAACAGCGCTTCGACTGAGGCCAATAACCTTCATGTTGAAAGTTAAGACTCTTACACAGGACTGTATATTTATTGTTGGTTAGTTAACATGATGTTAAGCTTTTTTCAAAGGCAATAGTGGCCTGTAAGGACAGTAAGCTCCTGTGATGTGATAACACTTTTAGGCACATCACCCTCTCTCTTCTTCTTCCACCAGTGCCTGTTTTTGTGGCCACCCTTTAACTACAAAAATGTGCACAAGCCTAACTTGTTTGTCCAAAATAAAGCTACACACTGCACCTTTAAAATGAGGCACAATGACTGCTTAGATGGGCCAATCAAACCACCACTGCATCCTTGGTTTGTGGGACTATGAGAAGGGGGCTGGTCTAAAGAGAAGTATCCAAACGACTATAATCCCGTCTCTTTTCGGATGATTTGCACAATTTCATACAAGATCTGATGAAACCACCATCAATTTAAAAGTGCATACACCTCATTCACACACATAGAATTCGCTGTATCCTGCCAAGCAATCCAACATTTTGACCCAAACATGGTAAACTTAAGGAGCTGTTTCCCCAGGGCCAGGGCTAATAACAGCCCAGCTTGAGATCACTTCCACATCTAACATAAAATGTGGCTGCAGCCCGGTTACGATCATATCTTCTCTGGTTTTCCACTATTTTATACCATCATGAACCAATCTAAACTAAGCTGGGGAATGTTCCTGGAATGACAATTAAATGAACAAAGAGAAACCCCTGCAATGAACCGAAACAAATGGGAAGAGCAGGCCGTTGCCAGAATCTATAACTGTGCAGCAGCATTTCATGCACAGTAAACACAAACATTTTCATAAAGGGGGGAGTGCACGCCAACTATGATGCAGTCTGAAGTGTTAGGCTGGTGATTTCCGGCGTGCACCTGCATCCTTCCCCACAGGTCACTCAACGATGTGACAACCATGCTCTTGTTTTGTCTCCAGCACTCCTGAGTCCTTAATTAAATAATCCAAATGGGATTAGTGCGGAGGTCTTTGAAGTCCTGTGTTCCTTGCCTCTGGTGAAATATCGAGACACGGGGGCTTCTTTTGATCAGTGCAATCAAAATCAACTGTGGAGTGGTCGCTGTGTCGGATCCAGTCCAGAAACAGAGGCTTCCGCATGGCTTCATCTCCTCTGCCAGGGCCCAGGGAATCCCTTATTTTCCTCAAAAGGTGTTATGAGTTTATGATTATCAAACTGCTCAGCTGTTGTTTCATGTGCACGAGGTAAAATGTTCTTTGACGACCAGACTGAGGTAAATTAATTTAACGGAGGTACCCTCGCTTTCGCACCAAATTGGACGTAAATCTTTACATCCCTCCTCTATGATTTTTAACAACAACAACATCTTGTTTTCTCATCTCCCAGGGTGCACTGGGGTGTGGATTTGCCCGGACATCTGAGCTAATTAGCGCTTTCTTCCGGGGGTGGGGGGTTTGGGGTTGGGGGTCGTGAATCTATAGCTCGATTCACAAATTCCACCTCTGGGGTTGTCGTGTGTGAGAACCAGCGTTTCAAAGTTGTTTTGAGGCGAGTTCAAAGTTATTGAGAGGAGACGGCGCTTTGTGCGGCCTGAAGAGGCTGAATGGACTGAAAGGCGTTTCCATGACGAGCTCAGTCATCTGTGAAAATAAGTGCCAGAGTATTTTCACTATAATGAACATGTAGCCATCTGATGATGCAGGAAGGTGTTTACACAGTTGTGGATAATTGTCCGGACATTTCATTTATCTCTCTCTCTATTTTTTGGCCTTTATTTTCCATCTCATTAAACCTGCTCAATATTAAAATGATTTATTTGGAGCTCATGTGAAAAAAAAGTTAACGATAGTCACCCAAAATCCTCAGTGACCTCGATACGTTTGTTCTTTGGATTAGAGAGTAGTCATCTTAAATTTGTGCATGTGTGCAAAATGTAGTAGGAATGACGAGCTGGGTCATACATTGAGCCAAAGATGCACATTCACATGTATGTAGAAACATGCCTCCTCACTGCTGAATGACCACACCAGTCTGATTTGGACATATCAGCGTTGGCAGAGTCTCTCACAAGCGTGCAACTAACGTGTATATGAGTTTCTACAGTGTCTCTACAGTGTTTACCACCTTACCGTTACAGAAACAGAGTGTAAAAACACCAGGACGCCTCAGAGCTGCTAGGCAAAGCTACTGTGAAGTCTTGGTTTGAAAAATCATGCCTACATTTGATTTACCTTAGTCATCTGTCAAATCTAACCAATAATAGCACCCAACTGCCTGTGATAAATCTTTAAACCATGACATGTTATTGTATGCAATTAAAAAGGCTGTAATTAAGACTGTAAGTGTATAATTTTCTGTCATCGAGTATAAGAAATATTCAAAACCATAAAAATGGTTTCCCAGGACCAGCTGAAAAAAATTATAATAAATAGATAAGCTAAAAAACTGGTAAGAACAACTTAAAACATATGCAATAAAAACATAGAAAAAATAGTCAAAACCATGCGACATATTAGAGCATCTTTGAGGAGTGTAAAATAGACTGAAATTAATATCAATGCCTTTTTCATGATATCTAAAAGCAGTCAGGAGTATCTCAGTGACTGGACTGACAATTCTTGTTTCCACAGTAGACAGACAAAGTCTAGATGGAAATTTAAATGAGTGCTTTTATTCAGAAAACCCAGTTTCCATATCCGCTTGTATTTGTGAACATGCCCTCAGCAATATGTCCGACTTGTTAACGAATGTGATGTCTATGGTTGCATCAACCACTCTTCAATGTTTTTCCATTATAAGTATTGATGGAAATGTATTTCTGTAACCAGGCTTGGTCTCCAGAAACTCTTCCTATGGATAAGTCTTGAAAAGGGGGGTCATCCTTTAAACATGGGGGTCTTATATTTTTGGTTATATTTCACTGTAATGTCTGTCATTCTCAAGAATAAACCCAGACAATGAGATCTGAAGTTTTGACTCTGGCGAACTTGGATGAACCTGAACCTTTGGATCCCAATCACTAGACACCCGAACTTGGACTGTAGTATTAAAACAGATTTGTGCTTGGTAGATGGTCAAAACTACCAAACTGGCCCCCCACTAAAGTTGTTCTCCTTCAGGGGTGCCAGATTAATCTTCTGCCCACTCTTCGCTCAGTTGCTTGAAGGATTTGAACCTCTAAACTTTGGGTCTTAGTCTTACCATTGTTGACCTTCAGGCCAACGTCAAACCATCATCATTACTGTCAGATTTTATCAGACAAAGACCCTCGTTTGACTCTTAGTTTTGGATTAAAAACACATTCCAGCGTGAGTGCGGATGCTTGTGGGCACCATGTGGATACAAGAGAAACACTTTATGGGAGCCTGTTGTTACTTACCGTGGGTTTGGGAAACAACCAACTTTCTGTGTTTAAGACAAACAAGAGAACAAGAAATAAAATTAGGGTTCCAAGAGTTCAGGAGGTTCGCAGTTCCTCAAACCCCAAAGGCCATCGGTGAACAACCGAGTCCAGGTCAGCCATGATGTTCAAACACAGTCCAAGAGGCTCGGGGTGGGTAGTTGCAGGAATCAAGAGAAGAATTCATTAGGCCAGTTTTAGCTCAATTCATTTTCAATTTCTTTCTTTTTTTAAATATTGCAATTAAAAATGACACAAATGATCCCAGAGCTGAAAGTTTTCTGTGGGTGGAGTCAAAGCATCTGTACCCAGGTACCTCAAAAGTGTCCAGCTTTGTCTCCAGAGAGTCTGAGCGAGTCAAAGATAAATGCACTCTGGGTAACTCCACTGACTTTCAGAAAACCTGATCTGCAAATGAACACGATTGAGCTTTCTGGGTCAACTGTGGACTTGTTTTCTTTTGCAACTATGGGAACTGTGTGTTATACTCACTGCAGGAGCGATGGCCAAACAGCTGGTAGAGACAAATAGGGACTTGTTTGAAATTCGAACCCATTCACACTCTCCCATTTATCCTCTGCTAGATGAAATATCACTGTGTTGTTGTGGTGACCCATATGGACTAAGTTTGCGAATCTGATGTTGTGCTTTTGTCGATGACTAAACTCCACTTGGTCAACTTTGTAGATGAAAACAGAGAAGTTCTCTTTTTTTTTTGTTTGATTCACAGTTTTTACATTTATCACGTTTTATGACACTTTAACATCCAGGAGGGAGAATCTGAGAGGATACTGTATATGTGGCGGTAAACATTTAAACCCTCAATTCAATATTGAAGTCCATTAGGACCTGGGTGAATATACAAACATATTGTAAAGAGAATTACAGTTGTGACAGCTTACACTTCACTTGCCAGCGCTCTTTATCCCCCTCATTGGAGGAAAAACTCTCTTTAATACAGTTTAAGTGTTGGTTCATGTCCTAAAGCACGGCTAAGTTTAACAATAAGCTGAACAGCTTTGATGTCTCGGAGAGCTTTAAAGATGAGAAGTTTTTCCTCTTAATCATTAATCATGCCCTTGAAGCCTGAAAATTTTCTCAAGCGAAATGCAAAAAGATTTTCTGTATAATAAGGATGATAATGTGGATTCATGTAGGCCAGGCCCCCAGCGGGATTCCTGACAAATAAAGACGGAACAACCGGACGCTGATTGTAGTCCAGCTCCAGCAGGAGGGACGTAATTGAATCCCTATCGCTATAAACAAAGCGGCTGGATATTAAAGATTGCATAAACACTGAAAGCTTTATCATGCAAGAGATCTACAGCTTTTACAAAATCTTTAAATAAAAGCACGCACTTGTGACATCTGCTCCATACACCCAAGACTAACTCTGACATTCAATCCCCTCAGCTTTTGTTTAGCCTCAGATCTCTGTTCGCTAAATACTCTGAATGAATGTCAGACGGCGGACATTAAAGTGATATTAACCGAGTAATAATAGGAGAGTTCAATAAGTGATATGAGGCCATCTTCTCCTGGAGGTTTTATGTAACAGTTTTAACGTATCGGCATGAGAATTTCACTTTCTAAAAGTTTGCTTACTTTGATTAAAACAAACGCACAGACATGAAAGAAACTCTAACCCGAAACAGCATCTCCAAAACCCTGGAGGGGAGTTTATTATCTGTCGTTTTTTTATGGGTATTATTAGCATAAGGTCATTATATTCCCACATTGTCAAGAGGAGAATCTGTGCTCCTCCTCGAAGTAAATATAACACTTTAATTTGGCTGATAAATTTGGAATCATCCAGAACTTTAATCTGATTAAGACTCTCGCTCGCTTTTGAAGTCTGTGGAAATGAGGAATCAATTACGGAGCTCACACCCATTTATTTCTGTGTTCCTGGAGAAGCGCAGTCATTTGCTTCGTTTTAACTGTGTCAGTACTCTGTGATTAATTAGCCACAGTGCAGACACACACATCCCAGAAAGCCCTGCAGCTTGTTAGCGCAACCTGCCAACTGCAGTTAATGTTCCCACCTGTTCCTCTGAGGACAAAAACAGTCCCTCCTCTCTCATCTTTCTAATGTTCATCATTTCGAGTTGACTGCAACGCAATCATTTCCCAGCCCCCGTAATCAGGGTTTTCACGTATTTTGCCTACTTGGCACTCAGAGTAATGGCTGCAATTAAAGGTTGAATATGAGCGTTTGTCCTTTTTTAATAATCTGTGCATGCCAGAGACTAATCAAAAAGAAATTAATTTGAGTTTTATTCTACCTGCTTTAACTCACAGCTCATAACAGCTGCTGTTTTCTCCTTAATGAGGGCCACTGTTGGAGCTCTTGGGTCCAAATACAGTTCTGAATTCTCTTTTTTTGCGCTCCGCTCTGGAACAGCAGCCTGATCAAATACGCAAGCATTATAATCAATGTGCGTGATTCTGCACAGTCCATCCGCTGTCCAGCTACTCTGCGGATCTGCTCCGGCGGCTGGATCAGATACACATGGCTTCTATTTTTGCCGGATGCCGCAGCACAGCGCATTAATTCAGTTGTATGCAGTGACAGAGTGAAATATCCGCTTAATTTTCAGAATAAAATAAAGTCAATAAGTTGAACTGTTCTTCACGTGATAATGGGAGGGGCCAGGGTTGTGGGATGTGGGTGTTTATGTACACTTCCGATCTCATTCATTATCATTCAAAACATGTGAGATATCGTCCAGTCTCGTGAGAAATATCGGTAATATCTCAAGTGCTTCTCCTCCGCTTGCTGCAGCGAATCAGATCCAGTGGGGGCTGTATGCTTCCGTATTTGATCCGCCTGCCATTCCAGAGCTGAGCAGAGTGGATCTGCGTGCAGTGGAATCCCTGGGTAAGGATCTGTCCTTTGTCTAATATCAAAATAGTCAGTGTTGACTTGAGACTTGTATTTCAGGACATTGTAGTTGAATAGATCGTAAATTGCCTGGGTTGTGTTTCACATGATGCAGCTGTACGTTTGTTTTTATCTACACTACCATCAAACGGCCATCATGAACGTAGCTAGACTTTGAGTTAACTCGTAAAATGATTTTTGAGCCCATCGATTAATTAATACAGCAAATTCTGAAGAAGGATGGAATCAAAGTGAATATCAAGACTGATGAAACACGGGTGTTGAGGAATTCTGAATTGAGATGGAAAATACTTAAACCAAAAGTACTGAACAAACATATTAATTGATCACCTTTGTTCATATTTCCTCTGTGCTCCCAATCCAAACCACTTACTCTACTAACCTTTTATTCTTTATCAAAAATGATACAAAGGTACGTATTGTCTGAGTGTCTCTTTGCTTCTGTGGAGTAAATTGAAGAATGTCCTGCAGGGTCTTATCTGGCCCTTGCGCTCTATTTCTGGCATCTCTGCTCTTTCCTGTTTTCCTGAGTTATTGTTGGTAAAACATAAAAAATGTCCCACACAGCAACAGGCGCTGTCAAAGGTTTAAAGAGTCTGACCTGTAAATGACTGCGAGCCTCTCATTGTTTGGTTTTTAACCGACGTGTCCCTTAGCCTGTGCACCTCTGACGGCCTCCTGCACACGAACACACACACGCATGCGCTTGAACACACACAAACACGGCGACCATGATGAAAGAACATTAATCCTCGAAATTGACAACAGGATTACAGTGTTAAGAAGCATTGCCATCACTTTTCTACTTCCTGCGCCCTCTGTGTCATCTGAACTGTTTCAAATCCTTCAAAGGAAAGACTCTGTTGTGGCAGGAGGTGTCCCGCTGGGCTCGTCCTCTGAACTGTACGCTGACGTCTAACTCGAGCAGACAGGTTAACTTTGGCAAAAACTAAACTCGGCACTACTGGAAGTTATAAACGATGCGTTTTGCTGCTCTTTCTTCTCCTAATTGGTGATTGTGGGACTGAGAGAAGTGAAGACCATGACTCATATTTGAATTATTCACACGCACCGGCTGTTTCTCTGCTGTGACAGCATCGAGCATGAAGAGGAAGCAATAAAAACCTGTGGGTTACCACAACACCTGTCCATTAGGGTTTTATTTGATTCTCCACAGAAGTTAAAAACAAGTCCGGGAAGGATCCGTGTTTTTCTTATTGGCAATAATTCCATGAAAGACAAAAACATAGTAGTTGGAGCTACAGTACTCATGTTAGAGTAGCACATGGTTTTTATCAGATTAGGAATTTATCGACTTTTTTCTTTTTTTCCAAAACTTTACCTCTTGACTTGTTTTAGAGCATTTACATCTTTTATTCAGAATCAATGAGTGCTTTTACATGATCACAATCTGCTGACTCAGCATAATCAGGTAGTGGTAGTAATGGTCGTAGGTTGGCGTGCACTTCAGCAGTGCTGTATCAGGGAAAAAAATAAAGGTTTTATTTGATGCTGTCAAATCACCTACTCTCCTTCAGCGGTCACTTGTTTGTGGGGGAGCCCTGACCAGTCGATCAAAGAGTTCAGCGGAGTTTCGCAGCTAAAGGAAGAACATTTATGATAATTACTTAATGGAAACAAAATCAAACCGAGACGCTTAGGCAGGAGGACTACCTCGTCTGCAGTGCAAAATTGTTAATATGATGATTATTACTTAATGGAAATGATCCGCTGCACTCGGTGATCAACTTGTCAGGGCTCCCCCACAAGCAAGCGGCTGTTGGAAGGGAATAGATGAGTTGTGTTTAGTCTCTTTGCTGAAGAAATCAGGCAAAGCTAAAAAGATTTTTGGTGGCTAGTACTTTGGCTGGGACCCTATATGTCCTGTTGATGAAGTTAGGTGCTGTTCTGATCATTATTTGTGGCTATAGAGTGGTGTTTTGGTTGAGGTTTGCACATTCAGATGCTGTGTTTTGCTATCTGCAGTCTTAACTAAAGTTGGTATAACTAGAGAGGAGAGTGGTCGGCAACATTCATCTCTCAAGGGGCTGTCTAACTCGCTGTTAAGCTGTATTTGGCCATAACTTAAATTTACACCAGAATATCCCTTCAACTGTTCATCTGTGAATGAAGACAGTAATTCCCACAGAAGGTAATTAGTTTATTCTCGTTTACATTTACATTTGAGCTACCTGTTAGAAGTCTACCAGTCTGCTCCCACTCCTGCTGTGATGAAGACGATCCCCAAGATTCAAAGTCCATAAAAACCCACAGATCAGGCTCCTTTATGTCCACATTGACTGTTTGCTCTTCACAAAGTTATCCTCTCAGACACAAAACTTCAGCATAAACACTCCTGAGGATGACCCAGCAAATATTGACCCCTCTGACTCTCAAACGGCACTTCTCAATACCCTTTGATCCAAGTCTTTCCCTACCATTGCATAGCTTTGTCCCCACCTTATCGTAGATTGGCTACTGTCTCCTGCAACAGTGATGGGTTAACAGTAAGTTATGGCGAAAACTATAAAAGAAAAATGAAATTAATTAACTTCAAAATTAACTTTTACATGAATTCAAAAAGTAATGCCGATGAATGATATTCGTTTTGCTTGCTTTGCTGCTGTTTCCACTCCTCTTCACTCGAGCCTGTAAATAACAGAATAAAATAAATCAGATTTGGCTTTGTATACATGCACAGACTGAAACGGGTCATTGTGCAAAAACTCCTCACAGCAGCCAAAAGTATTACAACAATAATGTTCTGGGTGTGACGTTCAAATAATGAGCTGAAACTTCATAGGAAGCTCTGCGGGGGACATGTGCAGAATCAGCTGATAGTTTGAGAATCCCACATGTTTTATTTTATTCATTAAAACAAAAGAAATGATCTTTTTAAAGGAACATAGAAAACGCTCCAGGACATTTCTAGATGCTGTTGAATATACGGATCGACACTCCAATTGTTTGTAACAAGATTTACAGGCACAACAGGGCTGCTTTTGGTGATCGTTTATTTTAGATATAAGCTCCAGATTTCTGTATGCTTACATGATAAACATCCAGAATATATGTAAACATGCTCTTCTATAAATCTAATTTCAAATCACAGGGAGCCATGCTTTGCTTCAGTCTTTGCTCCACATCTGAAACAGATGTGATCCTGGAACAGTAGATCCAGCAGGACCGAACCCTGGAGGATGTTTGTCTGCGTCTCTTCACGTTGGAAACATAAAATTAAGACGTTAGGCGAGGGATATACTCTGGAGGCTTCTCTCATGCATGTACGCTTTCTGCTCTCGCAGGAATCTCATGACATCACCGCTGACTCGATTTATGCCGCGAGTCCCCCTGCTCCTTCTGCTACTGCTGCAGACGCACACAGTCCCACATGTCTCCTTTTACACTGTATCAGCCTTGAACTGATTCTGCAGAGAAAATTGTTCACATAGCACACATATGTCATCCCAAACTCCTCTCGCTGTAATGTAGTTAGTTTAGAGACAGTTTCCAGAGTCCTGACGCTCCTCTGCATGTCATATCTTCTTTAGTTTATATCTGACTGGACTGTGTTACTCTGAGGCTTCCCTGCTGCCTGTTTACAGCATTTTAATCCCAAAGTCGCTCAGTATCATAGAAAGTGACAGCAGTGTGTTAATAATCTGAGAGACCAATGTGTGTGCAACAAATGTGACCAACTTAAAGTGTAAGGACGGTATGCTTTGCTGAAGCTTTGCTGTGTTTCTTGTGCAAAGGCGGACAGCTGGCTGTCAGAACCAAGTCCTTTAAAGCTGAGGGGAATTTTCTGTAATTTAACACTAAACCTCAGTTGTACATTGCACCAAACATGAAGTCCAGCACGATTACTTAAAAGCTCAGTTTAGACACCCAGCTGTCCAAATAGTAGAACAAATTTAGAAATATCTCTCTAATGCTTTGCTCACACATGATATTAAAATCCACAAATGACATTTTCTTCTGAACAGATATGATCTGATTCGAACACATCATTTAGATTCTTGTCAATCCTCGTGATTTGACGCCTCTTAATGCACCATTTGTCTGCTTTTTAACCTGATATCTGTGAGTTTCAGATCCCAGATTTATCATCTATAGTATTGTGAAATGTATTGGCTTTCAATAACGTGTTTATCTTCATAATTGATCAAAAAATAATCTTTAAAGAAAGCTTTGAATGAGCTGTGAGAAGACTGTAAGGGCCTGTGTCCACTTGCAGTGTTTTTGGAACCAGGAATTATTCAATTCAATTCATTCAAAGAACTTTATTTATCCGTTAGGAACTTCATTTGTGCCGAGCATCAGTGCGTGTACAGTTCACAGATCAGCAACACAACACAATATACCGCATGCATTTGATGGAAGTGGTGGGGCTTTAAACAACTGTCAACAACAATGAGAAAAACCCAGAAAAAAACATACCTTTATTTTAAAGGTGCAGTTCATTGGTATAGAGCTCCTGTTAATGCTCAAACAAATTTCCATTAATGGCTTTTACTTTGTGGTTGTAAAAATCCATTTAAGTAAAGCTTAATGGAGCAGTAAGACATGCCATGATAAAGCTGTGAATGGGTACAGGCCCTTAAAGCTGGGAAGCGTCTCCAATGCAGAGTTCTTTAGATCCATCTTTATATCAGGAAAACACCAGCTAGTTTCTGAAACTGAGACTCTTTGGCAAAAAGGTTGGACACTCCCTCGTTTTTGTGTCGTTTTAATATTTTAATCCTGTGCAGATTATATGAGGATGCTGCTCCATGGTTTTATGAAACTGTATTGGCCCCAGAGGACAAAGACTAATTTAGTTTTCTACCAACAAAACCATCAAAAGCAGTGTCCTGGAGGCTCAATTGGTAAAACATGCAACACAACCGTAAAGACCCACGTCTGAGTCTCGTCTGGGGCTGTTGTTGCATGTCAACCTGCTCCCATGGTGTTTGTTTCCTGTTGCTGCTTCTTGTCATGTGTCCAATTACAGAAGGGTAGAAGGGCTTGGGTGGGCTGAAGTACGATGAAAAAATGAGTAAAAAGCACACCTTAAATTTTCTTCTATTTTTCCAGTACTTGTTTTTTTTACATCTAGACAGGGCTAACAGTATTGAGTCAACACAACAAATGAGTCAGTTTGATGAACAAAGCTTTAAAATTTAGTCAATGCAGGGAGAGCAGCAGCAAAGACCTTGGGATACAGAATAAAGTTAGCATCGGTAATAATATCTGGGATACACAGGGATGCAAAAGCTTGATGCTAGGAGTACACACCTCCTCTCATAGTCCTTGTGCTTACATTAAAGGGATAT